GGTAAAGGTTCAGCCTTGCAATTTGCTTGCCCATGTCACTGCAGCCTTCACGAGAGGGAGCTTAGAAGAGCCAATCCATAGGGTACTTGGCCTACATTTAACTACTACGATTCCACGCTGTCCAAACATTCCTGGAGGAGGTGGGGATACTCACACTTTACCCCACCACACGTGACGTGACTATTGACTAACTGGTGTCTCCATTTTTACTTCTGGGTGGGGGGGGATGTGGGGGAAGGCTTCGCTCTAGAAACTTGCTTGTTATTTAAACTGCCCCACTGGGAGATCAAATCATACCGACGACCTCCGGATTACCGGTCCAGTGTGCTGACCGTTTCACCACGGCGGCATATCACGTAAAAAAGTGAATAAATGTCAAATGGAAAAGGCCTAATGGAGTTTAACTGCAAGTGTGGAAGGTGCAAGTGATGAATCGCTTGCCAGTCTGCCTAACCCCAGCTTTCACCTCTTTGTGGTTAGCGTTTGGTGGAAGGACAGCTGGTTAATAATACCCAGATTAAATAAGCTGTTACAGGATTTGCATGCTAATTATAGTGCAGAGCAGGGATCCCAACAGAATGCGTACAGATTCCTTAATTGGTATTAGATTAAAACAACTGTATTAGGATGTGGTGTTAATTGCAACATCTGCAGCCCAAGGGAGTAAAATATGATGCTGTGTTTCCTTTTGATGTTCAGGTCAATCAAATAATTTTAATCACGCGAGGTCTTTTTTTTAGCTAAAAGTGCATGACAGAGTGCTGTTTATTCATCTAATTACCTACTGTTGGTTGTTTCGGAACGTACTAAATTCGGAGCCATACTGCTATTCAATTGTGACAACCTCCCATTTTAGATATTGCCGTATTGGTTAGCACAGTGGACTTGCAATCCTGAGAACGCTAGTTCGATTCGATCTCCCCCAGCGTGGCAGTTGAAACAACGAAGAAGCTTCTTAGTTCCCCTTCCTCTGTCCACCCAGCAACATTAATGGGTGCAACACGCTTAATCGATCGACAAAGTCACATGTGGTGGGGGTAAAGTGTGGGTGCGCCCACCTCTTCCAAAATGCCTGGCCAAGTGTGGGAGAGTAGGCCAAATACTCGATACAATGGCCATCTTGAGCTCCCTCTGGAGAGGGCCCTTCTGCCAGCAGTGACGTGAGCAAGGAGTTTCAGGGCGGCAGACTTTGCCGTTTACCATTACCCTTCCGTAGTTGGTGATCCGTTCAAAATTAACGCTCCTGGCTGCATTCGGCCGTCGCGTGAAGTATTTCATGGATGGATCCACCGCGCGCACTGCACCACCCACAGATGCTCTCTGCTCGTTGAGCCCCTGACTCAAGGCCTCTCTTTCTCAGCGCGGGCCAACCCAGGGATCATTAAACAAGGAGCGAGCGAGCAGCAACTACTGCATTTCAGGGGGGGGGGTCACCACTGTCGTGCGTAGGGGATCATTAAACGGAGAAGCGGGCAAGGTGGAACTGCTTCATTTGAGGGATCACTGCTGCCGTTTCGGGACATAATTAAAAGGTTGGGGTCGGAGGGGAGAGGGCTGGGGTGTGCACGCGTGGACTTCGCATCATTCGGAGTGAATCGTCAATTGAGGACTTAATTGCGCGACAGATTTTTATGGGCTGCGCGTGGTGGTGGTGGTGGGGGGGGGCACAGTGAAATACGGTGCTGACGCGGCTTCACCTGGGAATACCGCAGCCACCACACCCCCACCCCACCTCCGGATATAAACTGGAAGAGCAAAGGAAGCCCCGCTGTTGGTGTAGACATTTCAGACGTACACCCACTGTGATCGAAGACTTATGGCTTTCGTTTTAATTAGTGATAATATGCTCTTATACTGCAAATGATCGCAGCCAATGTCAATCTGATAACTTATTGGTGGCCAAAAATTGTTGGTTACTGCGTTACAGACAAGACAGAGCGCAGACATTGTCGGCAAGATTACAGACCAACCTGCATAGACACTCAGCATCTCCAAATGCTTACGTTGACTACTAAGGAAATAATATGCCAACGTTAGCAGTAAGTGAAGTAGCCTTGCTCTCTTTAAACAGCGCTTGGAGATAAAGTCCCGTGCCATCCATAACTACGTTTCGCGTCAACTTTGGTGTTGACAATCGATCAGTTGATCAAGCGGTCAGACTTCACAGTCGATCGCGTCGGAACATTTTTCAACGTGATCGGTTAACGCACCTGCTCTTCAAGAGCCTTCATACAAGCGTCGCAGCAATTTGCATTTATTTAAACTTTTTATTTTATTTTATCGAGGTGAGGCATTGCCCTTTGCGGCCAACGTTAGCGTGTGCCAGGTTCAAGTGGCATCGGCGAGTTTTGAATAAAAATGTTAAGCCCCTCGTGAAGTCGTCTCGATCTAGTAAACATTGGTCAAGAGACTGTCGGAATACTTTAAATGGCCCTCACGATCTTCTCGAGGGGGTTGGCCTTAGCAGTGTGAACAACGCACACGGCCGAATAAGCTCGATCCTACTACGGTCACCGCCACTGACGCGTCGTAACGCAAACGCCCGAGATGGCGCAGCGAACCGCACGTGCGCCCGTGTTTTGTAATGCACTGCTTATTAAAAGTATAAGCGCCACAGGAATTCATTATGGCCATCTCTCCACGTCAATTTCTGCTCTGCTGCAGGAGCCGCGGCAGCAATTAGTGTTTGCGTGTCGATAAAGTGCTGCGCGCGTGCATTCGGCGAGATTGCGAGATGTACTAATTGGAATTTTGTCTGATTGCCATGTCTGGGCGCTCGCTTCGGCGAGCAGTGCAGCCTGTTGACCGTTAATTGCGAGTGCGCTCATCCCGTCCTCGTAAGGCTTATAAATAATAAACGGCCTCAATTTGCGCCCGGATGGTCAACGTCGTCGCTGGACACGCGCGCGCGTGCAAACAACTCGTTGCGCGCGTTTGCACCACGAGACGCGCATTACCTACTAGCTGCTTCGCGCCCGGTGTGGTCGTCATGGACTGCCATGGCATCGGGGATGGCTGAGTAATGAATCGGCAGTAAGTACAGGATACTGAACAGCTATTGATGCTGTTATTGAGCTCTGATACACGCATGCTCTCCAGATTTACGCCGTCGATTGGCCGCACTGCGCGCATATTAGGCAGACGTATTTCCGCGCTGTGTTTAATCACGGGGGGGTTGTTCAGTGCACTTGTCACGGACCACGTGCTGGGATAGCATACGTCGTGGGTACATTGTTGCAATGCGACTTTGAGCGACACGTGTGCCTTTTGGGTGCTGTGTAGACTTATGGCGCTGCTCAAGTACGTTTCTGTACCAGTTGACTGCCCACCTCTGTGTCATCAGTTAAGAGCCAATGAAGTGATATCCTCCCCTTATGTGCACTGCGTGGGAATGCTACAATGTGGTACAATGCGACGGTGAGACATTGAGTGTGCCTAAAGGTGCTACGTAGGCTTACATGTCGCGTCGCTGCTCAGGTAAGCCTTTATACCAATTGACTGTCCACCTTTGTGTCATCAGTTAAGGGTCAATAGAGTGATATCCGCCCCTTAAATTTTAACTGCCTTCCCTCTCTGCTCCTAATTATGCAGTCAGGCACCTCATGAATATCAGCATTGCAAGCCACACACCACGTTTGTTTAAATCTGTTGAAAGTGGTTGGTCACGTGAACATAGCCTCTATGGGTATCAGAAAATCGATCTAACCCCAAAAAACCTCTATTATGGATAAAATATATTGTGTTTGTCTAAAAGCTTAACAAAAATATCCAGACTCAGCGGGGTGCAGTGGATGACAACGCCACTGTATGAACCCGGGAAGCTGAGGTTTGATTGACGGCTATCACGAGTGGCAAGTGGTGATCTGAATTGGTTCCCGTGGCCTCCCTTCACCAAGCTTCCACTGATTAGTGTGGCGAATCATGACCATTGCCAACGCGGTGTGGGGAGGCCTTCAAACAGCGGTGGGGTTTGCAATCGGCGAATGAGTAAGTAATAGTATGACCTGTTTACCTCGTACCCAAATGCCACGACATTTTTTCGGGGCAAAAACTGTGGGGCAGGTGTAGGCCCTGAACATTTCGGCAAGCAAACAAGTCTGCCGTTTTTGGAGAACGCAGACCAACGTTCCAGGCAGGACCAGCTTCAAGGAATGGATGGGCATGTGGGATGAGCGCATGACATCCACGCAGCGCTGCAGACGCGCTATCAAATGCAAGCCTCTTCAATCCCTCGGTTAATAGACAGGCTCATTACATATGTGTAACATATGAGCTTCATTGTTTTTTTCTATTTTTGACTATCCTCATGTTAAGGTGAATTTTTATTGTCTTGACTTTGCCTTCTCTGCCACCAAATGGCACACGTTTGTTTGTTTCATTGTTGGTGCACGGTAAACGCGAGAGTGTAAATTAGTTTTGTGCAAATCAGCGGGTTGTGGAATGCAGGACATGCATATTTATACGTGTATATGCCGATTGTTGAAAGTCGAAGTGCTGTCTGTATCTCACAGTTCATCCAGGCGATACAATATGCATACGTTTAATGTCAGGATTTGTATAGATAGAGTACAGGTAAATACTGACTGTAATTTATAATACATTTGGATTATTATAATAGTTGCATTTTTTATTCTAATACAGCTGTCTATCCGATTGTACCATATCTATAGAAAACACAGTTTTCACCAATTTTGATTCTTTTGATGTATTGTACCTTCGTTAAATGATGCAAACATATTTATCTTCGGCACATCACCCATTTCCGAAATATTCCGCTGATATCAAGGTTTAAAATGGCATTATTCTGAACTTTTTCAAAGATAATGTTGAATTTTTTTTAATTTAAAAGGGCTTCAGATATCCCAGATGGCAGTATATGTGCTTCAAAGGGCTTTTTTGGTTCCTTTGGTGATAAAAGTAGCATAGGCTGTAAATTATATGCAATGTTGGACTCTGATGTCATAAGTAAACCTTTCCTTTTATTTTTGCACATGCTGCAGAGATTCACAGTCAAAAAGGTAAGAATTACTGAAATAAATTCCTTTTTTTGGCTTGATGTTGCTTTCATTGGTGTCTGTGGTCATTATTTTCACCGTACAATGATACATTTATTCTCGTGCTTTGTGGTTGAATGTTGACCTATTTAAGCATTTGCATAAAAATGTTCATTGTTACCAAAGCTTCACAACATTACTTTTGTTGAGGTGGCAAAAGGTGTCTCAGAGTTCAGAGCCCTGAGCCAGCACCGCTGAGATTCTGGGTTCGAATCCATGTTTCAGCCACTGCCTGCGAATACATCGGTGGATATGATGGTCTCATCCAAGTTACTGAAAAAATACATCGTACTAAATTTCATTTTTTCACCTAATTTGACTAACTTCCAGCTCTGAAAATATATATATTTTTGATATTATTGTCATGTGACAAACGATAACAGAGTAAATGTATATGGGAAAGGGTAATCCCAACTTTGTAAAGGCCACTGGCAGAGCTTTACAGTACTGTGAATACTCTTTCTCAGCTGTTGTTTGACGCAAGAAATGCCCTTGCTCAGTGAGATTTCTGAATGGATTCATCATATAATCCAGACTTTTTTGTAAAATGACCGCAGGTTAACCACAAAACACTGGTTAGTTAACCTGTGTCATATTTTAATACAGCAAGTCAAAAGTAATTGGCAGCACTGAACTCTAGCATTTAGCCAACAAGATTGGCAAGCAAAATATGATGCATATTAGGGGAGTAAGGGATGCACCATTTGATCAATTAATATTGATTGTTATGCTAATAGATGTATCCAATTGTGTGTAAGAATTGTTGTTTTTCAATTACTTGAGTGGTTTTCATGTCGTGGGTTCATGTGACCCATCTAGCCCACTAAAGGCACACCACATTCACTGCATTGTAAAAAATATATAATTCATTATTAAAAATAATAATTGATTAAATTATTAAATCAATGTTCCACGCTGAATGGCAACGGTTCATTTAATCGTGAAGGGAGCAACTCGTTACTACACACCACAGAGTTAACACACTCATGTGTAATATCTCTCTCATTTTTCGACCCAAGACAGTGAAATGCAAAACGATTTTTAATTACCGTACTGTTTATCCCACACGAGGTGTAATGAATGGAACGCTAGTTGTCAGCTACACATCCCCGCTATTAGCACAATCCAGTTTTGAGCATCATCATTTTTCATTTACATGGAAATATGCATAATTTACATATTGATTTACATTTAAGCAGTGATAAAATTTTATTGACTTCATCAAATAGTAAAAAAACCTAACAAGCCTTCATCATTATTAAGCATATCCGAACTATTTTTTGTAAACAAATCATTTGTAGTCGGAGCACATAGGATTAGTTTGGCTGATTCTTAAAACTGTATGCAAGGCCATACACTGTTAAAAACTGGTGGTTTTATGGATCGCCTGAAGAACCCCCTTACTTTACTGAAGTACCCACTGTAAACCAGACCATTTATGTTTTTTTAACAATGTATTTAATTTTCTTTAATTGTATTTTTGATACCATCAGCTCGTGGTGGGTTACAGTGGCTAATAAGTCTGTTCAATCAGCACAGAGATTTTTTTTCAAACTCCCACAGTGCACACTCATCGACACTTTAACAAAATATTGTTTGCAACAATAAACATACAATTGTGACGTAGAAGGAAAGTAAGAAAATAATAAAAATAAAACAATAATATAATTCTCACGACGTTTTGGCCACAACGCAAGCAGCCGTCCTCAGGTGAAGGACGGCTGCTTGCGTTGTGGCCAAAACGTCGTGAGAATTATATTATTATGTTTTATTTTTATTATTTTATTACTTCCCTTCTACGTGACTTTAACGAAAGAACCAAGAAGATGAATCCCTGCAGTCACGACAGCTTTAAATCGAAAAATACAATTGTGACTTTTACAATTAATATTTCTTTCCCGCTTGTTAATGATACCAATGACCAATATTGTGGTTTCCTTTTTACTTTAGTTAAAAATAAGACAGCTTTACTGACTTTTTTAGAATCGATGCTAAGAGTTGTCTCAAGACCCGATACCGTTGGTCTTCACTATAGGCATAGGCAATGGTGTTAAAAGTGCGTACATTTACTTGCGCCTCTACTTGTTTTGAGGAAATGCTGTAAGTCTGTGTTGCTTCCAGTTTGGGGTGGGTTTTACATTCTTGACGCAATTCATTGCTCATCATAGCTGCCAACATGGCTTCAGATTCACAATGGAGGTGCTCACCGAGTCACGGAAAGAGAGGCCCTAACTTTTCCGTGAGAACAATCTGGTATGCATACGTACATTCTAAGCTACAAATCACATTCGTGCATTTCCAATTTGAGCTGTTTGTTCGGCCGTGGAATATAATAGCCACTGTTTTAATGCACCTGTGCATACCAGAATGGGCTCATTCACTGTAACATCCAGACCGGGTCACACCTCCTGCTGAAAAAGAGCCATGTTGACAGGTATGACGCACACACTTGCGTGCACCTCGAGTTTAATTTGCGACAGTGCATTCTCGCCGCACACGATGGCACGTGGACATTTGCCGTATGTCTGCGTACGACCTATGCTCCGGAAGTGAAATGACATCCTCTTAATATGAAACCGTTGGGCATCCTGATCGCTCCCCCTTCCACCAACCTTTGGGGTTGGTGATAATGTAAAGTGCTGGCTGTAGTTTGCGCATCGAGCAGTCTGTATTTTTGGGTGGCCAGGATAAGAATCATAGTTAAATCAATGAGGATTTATTCACGATTACAGCAATACCGATAGTAATGATAGCAGCTGTGCTTTGCAGGAGTGTACATTGGATGAATATTTAGCTGTGGGCTGCTTCTACTGATGTGGCAATATTTTCCCATGTGTATCATAATCCAGTATCCAATAAAGGTGTTGTGATTTGATAAATTCAAATAAATATCAAATCAAGATCAAGATCGTTTATCTTGATTTGTTAAATTCAATAAAACAAAAAAATGACATTCCAGGAACAATAATGAACAGTAGAATGCGTGTCTCAGTCGGATATCAAAGCTAAACTTTCTAAATTCTTGCGAGGCTGACATTTTACTTGAATTTAGATTGAGGTTATTTCAGTGGAAGTTTTTTTCCATGGTAAAGAATTGACGTTAATTTTGATAGTGGCTCTGGCATGGTACACATTCCAATATGGCCACTGCAGAGTCTGGGCTGTGTGGGCATTAGGTTTGCCCCCTCTGAGGTACAAAAAGAAGATTGGTACGTACCATCGGAAAGAAGAGTATCTCAAAATACCAGAAGAGGGGGGAACTTCATGTAAACGCAATGAGCAATGTATCACTATTATTATCCTTATGCATATGACGAAAACCGAGACTTTTAATGTCCGGGTAAGGCTTGCAGATCAGCCAGGACAGCTACCTCAAAAAATGGGAGACTCTGGGAAAACCAGGAAAAGGTGGCAACCCAAGTGGGAAGGCCCCAGTGGCTGAGCAACGCACTTGCTTGTGGTTTTTAGTTTTTGTTCGTCTTTTTTCTCGTGGCGGACTGACCGCAGGTGGATGAAGAGGCCTCGCTGCGGCGTTCCCGATCGGATCGACCAGGGCCTGCAGGCCGGCTTGCGGCGCAAGCGCTACGCCCTCACTGGGCAACGGTGGCAGCAGAAGCACATCACCTACAGGTACTGCGCCGCCACCATCCTGTGTTCGGTCAGAGCGGGGATAGCATTGGATTTTAGCTGTGGGCTGCTTCTAAATTTGTGGCTGTAGCCTATAATCATGTCGCATGACGGTGTTGTGATTTGATGAATTAAAATATATTTTGTCCCATTCCTAGGTCATAATGAACAATATAGTGAGTGTGTCTCAGTCCTAAGATGACCTTTCTAGAGGCGTGCAAGGCTGATTAAGGTTCTCTCTCACAATCCCCATGGTTGGCATGAGAGTGGGTGATGAGAGTCATCAGGTCATCAACTTCAGCCATCCTCAGTCCACTGCTGGACAAAGGCCTTCCCAAGTTTTTGCCGTCTCTCACAGGCCTGCGGTGATCTCTTCACGGCCCGTGTGATAATCCAACTCGCACCGGATCTAACCAACTGGGATTCCCGTGGTGGATGTCCTCTCAGACGCGTTTTATCTCTTGGCTGCCACTGTCATTATCCCTGATCATCGGCCACGGTCCATTATCGTGAATCGTCCTCTCCAAGTCACTAATGGTGTCATTAGCCTGCGTGTGTGCTCTCATATGCATTCCCCTTTATGTCCCTCAATGTAAATACCAGCGTGCATCGCTCCATGATTATTTACGCAACTTTTCAGTTTTTGTGAAGTGCTATATCAAAAATTGGACATGTAGCAATGTGTGATGTGTGTCAGTGTGGTTTTATCTAGTGCATCTGAGAATATCCACTCTGAAGAACAGGTTTTGTCTGACTGTTAATAATGATCAAGGATACTCTGCATCTGCACCTAATCATGTGCCTGCAATACCAGTGAAGCACACTGCTAGCATAGATCACACCTGCTCTACAAACTCATCTTTCACACGTAGTGTTTTGAGAAATCACTTTATTTTCTCGTGCGAAAGAGCAAGGACATACCGGTAGATTTATACATTGTTGAAGAGCTTCCAAATGACGTTCTGCTTGTCAGTAGAATGCTGGTGGTTTTATATGGAGTAGGATGTTGTGAAAAATATGAACCGAGTGTAAGTTAGTCGATCGACAGGTCTTGTGCGGTGAGGGTTAAGTGCGGGAGTTCCAATCTCTCCAATCTCCTTCAAATCCATCTAGTCAGGATGGAATAAGCAACATACCCTCAAAAATGTCTCTCTAGGGATCCATCTTCCGCCAGCAGTGGCATGAGCAAGCGATTTGTTGCAGGGCAGCAGTTATGAACTATTTTGTTCAGTGTTGTTTGTTATTCCCTATTTTATCTAATTTTCTGTCCTTTTCACTGAAAACGTTGCCACTTTTCTTGCACTTCTGCACACATGCCTAGGGCACGAATTCCGGTTGAATAATGCCAGGCAAAGTACGAGGTTTAAATGAAAATAAATATCTGGAAAATATTTTTCAGTTGTTTTAGCCATGTGAGCGGTCGGCGCTTTCGTGGCAAAACTGTACAGGACAGGAGGCTTTGCCAGGGCATGATGCCAAATCACAGCTTCTAATAATGGATTGATTTGTGTCGTTATTGCACCATCCCTTTCTACCTTTTTCTTCCAGCGGCGATGTTTAGAGCGTGGCTTGTTGTCTAGAATTCACCCCTGTAAATGCACGGTAGCTGCACTCGGTGACCTTGCTGTGCTACTGCCCTATTTTTGCGATTGCCGAGGATCGGGGCTCGGCAACCTGCGGCTCCCGAGCCGCATGCCGCTCTTTCAGGAACTGATTTGTGACGTTGTTCACGCGCATTGCGGCTCTTGAAATATTTGAGTTTATTTTTTATTATTATTTTATTATTGTTATTTTTTGTTCTTTTCTTTGAACCTATCTACGTGATTCTAGATTTGAAGCTTTCGTGACTGCAAGGATTCATATTCTTAGGTTTTTTCGGTAAGTCACGTAGGTAAAAAAAAATTAATAAAAGTAAAATAAAAATAAAATAAAAATCACGACGTTTCGGAGGCAACACAAGCTTCCGTCTTCAGGTGGAACCGTCACAGCACGATAGCTGTATCAAGTGAGCTATCGTGCTGTGACGGTTCCACCTGAAGACGGAAGCTTGTGTTGCCTCCGAAACGTCGTGATTTTTATTTTATTTTTATTTTACTTTTATTAATTTTAATTTTTTTACCTATCTACGTGACTTTACTGAAAGACCCGAAGGATATTTTTTTTGCCCAATTCGAACAAAAAAAAATGGCTCTTGTTATTTTGTTTTCCGACCACTGACCTAGATGTTGAGCAGTGACGTGAAAATAATTTAAACAGCAAACGAATATTCTTATAAAAAAAAATTCAAGATATTATAGATTGTGACTAAAGTATGCAATAATGTACAGCCTGCCACTCGATTAGGCACTGAGAGTTCAATTAATTGTCTCGATGGATGGTTGCGATTTGATTCAGGCATCAATTATATTATTTCACATTTTTGGTGAACGTGTAACAACCTCTCGTGGTACGAAATGAAAAGCATCGATTCTTACAACAGTCAATTCGATGCATGTATCGGTCGTTTAAGAATTAATGATACTCGACGATGGAGTGTTCACCCATATAGATATTTCTGTGGTGGTTGCTGGTGCAGTCGGAGAGACATTCATGCAACACATTGAAATACCTCATCTGACACTACTGAGAAAACCGTGTTTGGCATTTTGTTTGCTCATGTTTAATTGGTAATGATAATGTGACTTCATTATACCTCTACGCATGCACGTGAGTGGCAGTCAAACACTTCGAGAGAGGATATAAAAAGCTGACCCAGACAAAGTGTTTATTGTTTATTTTTAATAGAAAGTACAGTCAGAATCAGAATATTTATTTATACTGCAAGGAATCCGTTGAGCTATAAACTCTTTTCCACAGGTGACCAGTAGGGGCGGGTCAGAACGTTACAACAACAAACAGTACAAACACGATAGGAGTGCAAAGTATAGGAAAGGTAAAGAAATCGCTTAAAAACATAAATATATATGCAAATATAACCTTTTTTATATTACCAGGTAAAGCCCACTGAGCTATTCATTTATTTTTCAGAAGTGACCAGGCCACAATTGATAGCCCAACAAAGTGGCTTATCATGTGGACGTTTACAGCAGCCAAATAATCGAAATAATCACGTCGAAAGTGCTCCCCACGTAGTCGGAGTTAGTCGTCGCAAAGCCACCCGTGCGCTGTATCGAATGTTCCTCCAGGTGTCGTGACCCGTTGCCCGTAGCCGTGCCTCCTGGGTAGACTTCATGTCCGTATCATCGAGGGCGGTGATCCGCGAAGCGCCCAGCTTGAGCGCGGGGAGTTGAGGGGGAGGGGTCCCTTTTTTGGGAGCCACACGCGCTCGCTCAGTTTTCATTCCAGATCTTGCCCCCCCGTGTAGGGCAGGTTTAAAAATGTTTACTTTTGGTGTAATTCCTCTCATTATTCATGCACCACATCAACGTATCGCTGATTAAATGTTAACTTTAATCTCACAATTCAAGCACTCGTTTATCATCAGTCTTAAAGGTTATCTCATATCTAATGTCTGTTCATGGAAAATTATCCAAATGCCAAGTGGGCTGTTTTCCCCGTCACATTTCACAGCATATTTAGGATGCGATTTTGTACACTTCTTTCATCAAGTTAAAATCGCAATGTTCTTTCCTCCCATGCTGTGCTGGCTGCTGTTCAATCCGTTTGCTGATAAAAACATTTTTTTTTTATTATCTCAGCAGTGGTAAAGTATTTAATGTCCTATATGTGATTTTGAAAATGATGTTACTTTGCACAAATTATTTTGTGGGTAGAGTTTATGGCTCTCCAGCAGAGGATTGAGGATTCAATTTGTTGGTTAGGGTGTCGATTGAGACTTTGACTCCTCCGGGATCAATACAATAGAGTGCCAATGTGGAGTCAGCCAACAATGGTTGTTTTGTGAGTTAACTCATGCACGCCATGGTTTGCTCAGAACTGCTTTTTATGTTGAGATTATTGTCATTCCCCCGCACCTCCGATCATCACACGGTTGGCTACGTATGGTGTGAAAGAAGTTCACCATACATACAGCACAGAGTAATGTGGAATTTCCACCACTGAGTCGAGGCTGTAAACAGCACACAGGTGCCGCTCCTTTATGCCCTCCCAACCAAGCCCATAATCATTTGAAGGAAAACCACTTCTGACTTTTTTATATATATAGTATTTAATAAGGTTGTTACGAATCACTAACATCATCCACCCCCCCGCCCCCCCCCCCCGTTTCCTCCTCTCACCTGCCATGTTTTAATGACCTGGTGAGATGCAGGACCACAATTACGTTCAGGATTTGACAGTTTTTTTATCATATGTTCTGTCTCGTTTTTACAGTCATCTTCCCTAGACGTTGCATTCGCCTATCACTCACAGATCATTTTCACGAGTCAAACATCGATCCTTGCGCGTGTGACTCGACGCATGTTTCGCAGCACGTATCGGCAGCCGTAAGAATCGCCGTTCGTCAAATATCGAACCGCTATCTTCACTCGAACGGGTGCAGCGTGCAGAACTACACGCCCAAGGTGGGCGAGGCGGACACGCGGCGGGCGCTGCGACGCGCCTTCGACGTGTGGCAGCAAGTGACGCCGCTCATCTTCGAGGAGGTCTCCAACCACGAGATCCGCAGCAGCCGGCGCGAGGCCGACATCATGATCTTCTTCGCCTCGGGCAACCACGGCGACAGCTCGCCCTTCGACGGCGAGGGCGGCTTCCTGGCGCACGCCTACTTCCCTGGCCCGGGCATCGGCGGGGACACGCACTTCGACGCCGACGAGCCCTGGACGCTGGGCAACGGGAACGCTGGAGGTGGGTGGGCAGGCAGGGAGCATTCACTTGGCGCCTCGGTCCAGCAAACGTTACGATAGCTGTCGCCGAGCCTATTGACGATGCTCGTTTCGCTCATGGTCGTTGGCACCATCATCATCATCATCATCGCCTCTGATTCGCACGGTTTGCTACATACGGTGCGAAAGAAGTTCAACATTCATAACAGAGGTTTTTTTGGGTTAAATCGTGTAAATATATAAATGTGTTTTTCTTCTTGGTTCTTTCGGTAAAGTCACGTAGAAGGGAAATAATAAAATAATACAAATAAAACATAAAATAATTCTCATGACGTTTCGGCCACAACGCAAGTTGAAGACCAGGTCTGTCGATAGAACCAAGAAGATGAATCCCTGCAGTCACGAAAGCTTTAAATCGAAATTTATAAATGTGTTGTTAAACCCACCACCGCCTGACACAGCCAACTAATAAGGTTTGTCACATAAACAGAACGTGCCAGTTCGTTACTAGTACAGCACACCGGTGTGTTGGAGAGCCAAGCCACACCATTTACAAACTGAGTACGACGTTTCAACATGCATACATCATCAATCGTCTTGAATCCACTGCTGGGAGAGGGTCTCTCCAAGTCTCCGTCATCTCTCGCGGTTCTCCAATGCAATAATCAACATCGTACCTGCGCACGAGCAGATATCATCTCTCCAGCTCTTCGGCTCGTCTAATGCCCAAGGCTTATTTATTTGCAGTGAAGCTTTAGTGATATCTGGAGGGGTGTGGTGGTCGCTGGGGAGTTGTAATTAGTGGAAGGCCGGAAACTTAAGCCCAGACTCAAAGAGAGGCTCGCTTTCCTACCCCCACAGTCTGCAGATGTGGTGACTGCAGAGCTGCTTTTATTTTGTTAGCTAAAACTAGCCCACATATTGTGCTGAGCAGTGGTGAACGGAGTGCTGCCGAGACCCACCTGTGAAAATAATTATTTTGTTAAAAATAGCATTATGGATTTTGAATGTTTTTGTTCACACCGACTTGCAGGTACGTGATTGCATAGCAATACACAATGGTAGCAGTTGTTGAAAAGGAGGCGAATACCCTAAGAGGGGACTCTAAGAGCTCTTTCTAGTTGAGGCCCTTCTGCAAAAAGTGGTGTAAGCAAATCATTATAGGGCTGAACCTTTACCTTTTAGACAAAGTAAATTTGAAGTTTGGCTGATTTAGCCATGGAAGTGGTCTCTAGCACAGCGTTTAATTCCATAAAACCCTGGTAAAGCCTTATTTGGTCGCGGAACATCTGCCTCAAGCTGATTAGTAAAAATAATAACTGACACACATACATCCACAGTTAACCTTCCCAGGCAAAACGTGTATTGTCTTTAGCCCGTCTGTGTCATCTTATTGGATTAGATTGTTTTTCCCAAGAGGAAAAGGCCCCTGTCATCCTTCAAAGTAATGATAAGAAGCATCTCAACTGAGAAGCAAATTACATAGCTTTCTTTGTAGTATCAACAATGTGCCTTCGCTGTACCCATAGTCCAATGGGCATTCTCTTTTGATGATATTCAGTATTAATTGACAAAAGATAACATTTAAGTGGCAATTCATGATCTTCTTCTGTACACAGAATGTGTGCTAATTGAATACATATGTTTTTTTTAATATACTTGCAATTCAGCGATGGTACGTACATTACCATGTGTATAATAGGCATCTAATGGGCACGTTGGTCCTCGGCAGCTACACCAATTGATTGCACTTGCCATGAGTAGTTCACATTTTCACTAAAAATTTTCAATATTCATATTAATGGTATCATTCCTGAGACTACATTCCCCGAAGGAGATGGAGCGATGAAGCGAGGCTCATGGAGAGGTTCTAAGTGTATTTATACATTGCAGGTCCATGACGAATGGCTACGTGCGGCCTGAGTACAACATCACACACATGCGAAAAGTCGTATGTTCGCCCTGAACAAATCATCATCCCCACTCATAGTCGCTATGAAAGAAATTGTGAGCCACGTGGTCTAAACTGACGTCGGAGTGACAGCCAAAGGAGGAGAGGATGCGACCGAGAGGGCGTTCCACTGTGGGAGATGGAGCGATGGGATCGGCAAGTGCGGCAGGAGCTGGGGTGGATTGCGACATTGCAGGGACCGTGAGAGATGGCGGCAGCTTGGGGAGGCCTTCATCCAGCAGTGAATAATAGATCATGGACGATGATGATGATTGTTATTATTATTTTTTGTAATGCATTACATATTTGGGGCATGATTTATGTTGTCATTGACCGTAGCGCTAGAACACCGACAAAAAACTCGACATGATCATTTTTGGCCCATGCTCAACAGCTGTGATGACGAGAAACAAAAACATGCCTGTTGCTCTCTCCCAGGTAACGACCTGTTCCTCGTCGCCATCCACGAACTGGGCCACGCGCTGGGCCTGGAGCACTCCAACGACCCCGCAGCCATCATGGCGCCCTTTTACCAGTACATGGACACAGAAAACTTTGTCCTGCCCCGCGATGACCTGCAGGGAATCCAGCAGATATACGGTGAGCTGCCGTCAACCGCCGCGAGACAGCCTGCCATCATCGAATCGTTGTTCATGATTTGATATTCATGCCATTCCTATAGCGGTGAGGCTATCGGAGAAGGATCTGGGTTTCACACGCATAGTTTGCAGTAGTTTCACAAGAGGCATGGGGAGGGGGGTGATTGCTCTGTGTTCTCCAAATAGAGCAATGTGCAGGTAATTCTACAGATTTGGCAAATTTTGACCATGATGCTGCCATGGCTGATACATGGATGTATACAGCTTAGGGCTGAGGGTTGCTCCTTCTGAGGTAAAACAAAAAAAAAACTGTACATATCACGTCAAGAATATTTTTTCGCAATACCAGAAGAGCAGAGAGCTACATGTACGTCCGTTGTCAACTGATGAAATTTTTTACTTTTAATATCTATCGATTTCATGTCCTGAGAAGACATTTGCTTAGGACAGCTACTTCAAAGATAATGGTCCTGGGAAAACCAGGACAGGTGGTAACCTTAGTTGGACTGTGCAAAATACAAGGGATCCACTTAAATGCAGCCCACTGATTTCTGTATGCATTTATGTTGAACTTCGTACGTAGCCAAGCGCGCTAATCAGAGGTGCGGGGCAACAAACTAAAAACTACTGAACCTCTGACATTCTTCTCGACAGATGATTGAATCGTGAGAGCAGTGGCTCAATATGTTACAAAGGAGGCTCTTAAAATGTTGAATAAGTGTATTTGAGATCGGTGGAAGTAGGCCTCAGCAAGGTCAGGTAATTTACCCTTATTACCGGGTAAAAGGGTAAAGGTGTTGACATAACAAGGGGTAAGGTAAAGGGTAGGGTAAAGGTAGCGCGAAGTATTACCCGGTTAATGCCTTGTTTACCGCTCGCTACAAGCTCCATGGTACAGTCCGTGGCCTCCATTTAAAATTGGAATCATCAAGAGTATATTCTATATGAATAAAGCACTCTTCCTAGCATTTGCCTGTTATAAACCTTGTTCATGTGTAGTAGTACCCCAGTAATTACCCTGTAATCGGGTCATTTGTACGGGGTAAGGGTAAAAAGGTAGGGTAAAGGTAGGTGCGTTGCTTTTGACCTTTTACCTTACCTTGCTAAAGGGTTAAAGGTAAGGGTAGAGTGATTGTATTGTGGTAGGGTAAAGGTAGGCTCGTTGTTTTTACCTTTACCTTGCCGAGGCCTAGGTGGAAGACATGTAGAGGCTTTCAAATACAATGTTGTGTTCTCTATTTCTCTCTCTTATTTCAGTGGGGACTGTGATTAAACCTGAGTTCTCAAAGTGTAAGTGAGTTCATGGCATCAGGCCCAGTCACAAATTACTCTGCACAATAAAAACATCATTAAAGTTGGTTCGGGGACTGAATTTGGCAAATTTTAACTCGGATAGCTAAAAATATATCTAAATTTTCACTCTCATCAGATACGCTCAAGTCCTGTGAACAATGTTACGGCCTCCAGTGGCCACAGAGGTCGGTTGAACCCTTTCACGTGCAAAATATACAAATACAAATATTCTTGACTTTTACAATGTACGTATCATGATCTCAAGAGTCGATATTCATTAATGAATCGATGCATTGGGTCCACCGTTATCTGTCTCCCTGTTTAATTACTAAACTATTTCGCCGAACACAACGACTAAAAAGATTTCAAGCCAATTGGTCCATTGGCTGGAAGTTGATTTATTTGATTTATTACCAATAATGCTTCACTGAAGCAACCATACATTTGTTTTGTTTCTGTTGATCTGTTTTGCTTTGGTGGGTGGTTTAGACGTGATTGGCTCTTCTTTTGTTGTTGTGTTTTGTTAGTTGTGTATTTGTTGTTTTTGCTGTGTTGTAAAAGTTAAAGTGTGTCTGGTTGTTTTTTATATTTCTGCTTTCCCAACTGAATGTGCACGTGTCCCACTGGGTGCAGTGTTTGTTGGCTCTCGAGTATTAATTGTGCTTGGGTTTGTTTATCACCTCATTTGTAAAGGGCCCTCCGGCGTGCTTTATTTCAGTCGTCATTTTTATAAATGCTCCCAAAGTGTTTATTTTTTGACAAAGAGGTTTTAATATGACAGTTCCATTCCAAAAAAAAATCCCACCAACGGTAGTTCTATTCCCCTTTGGCTTAATGGTGTCTAAAATAAAATTTAGCGACGCCTGCAGTGTTTATTTACGTAAAAGTAATACACTTCACACACACACGCACATAAAAATTGATAAACAATGTTATTATAGCGGTATCGATGATGCGTAAAATTATACAACAGTTAGGTGTTTTAGTTACGAAAAAAGTAATACTCTATGTTAGCACCTAATAATTGGCAAACTAAAATATAAAGCTGTACTATGCATATATAGTAGTTTGACAGTCGATTGGTCACAGGCAGTGCGATATCTTGTGCAGACTCCTACCTCTTCCGAGACGAACTGACCAGCGTCGAAGAGTAGGCCCCTGAAGAGGCCCTCTCGATCTTGATTTGAACAGTCTGCCTCAGCAGCAGACCATGCTTTCCCACCCGAAGATGGGCGCTTGTGTTGCGCCCAAAACGTCGTGATTTATTTTATTTTATACCTACGTGACTTTACCGAAAGAACCAAAGAGTAAGAATATGAGTAAGGCCCTCTCGAGTTGGCGCGAGTGGAGGCTCTTGTACGAGCAGTGGGGCGAGCAGGCATTTGCAGGGCTGCGCCTTTACCATTGACAATACGTGCACTAATGTGACTTTCAAATTTATTTCTTTTTTTTCTCACAAAAAAATGTAATGACACTTTATGCATACCTTACAATTGGGTACAAAAAATATAAAGAACGACTATGTGTAGCTTGAGGGCCCTGGTTATTGAGAGCTAACGCTGGCTTGCACGGTCATTATTTGCACAGTATGGCCTCTTTTGTGTTGCCTTGTGCTTTACGTAACATGCCAGCTGAACGTATACACTCAGCCAGCAAATAAGCCACAGCGCACACCAGTGGCGCTAACATCTAGGAACATTGTGCATTTCTTGTGTAGCTTCCCGTCAGAATGAACGGCTTATTCTGAGTCGACCAGTCTTCGCGGTGCCTGCACAGTGGAACTCCTTGCTTAGCTCCAAATGAACCGGACAGGAGTTTCCAGAGCACCGCTGCAATGGGCGTGGTCATTTCGGGATAATTGAATGATTGCTTGCGTTTCCACGAAATGTACATTCAATCCTTTGGCCACATCTGACATGGAAAAGCTGCACTGACTCATTTGGCTGTCTCATTAAATTTCTGTTACGTGACCATGTGCATAGCCCCTCCGTTACCTTACCTTCCCTTCCCACCCGAAAAAAAAATATTCCTAACTTTTACTACCCGTTGCCTTCCATATTAAAACAGTTGATACAATGATACCTTTCATGTACTTAAAAATATGTTCATTCCAACTTTCATATACAAATTTGGAAGTTGAATATACTTTTCTGCCAAAGTTTTAAGATCCAATTCCCATGTTGCCTTCAAGTATTTTTTTTTCTTCTGCAAAATTTTGCTTGGAAATACAGAACAGTTTTTTTTACATAAGTGACATGAACGTGGACATATACAGAGCTTGACCATAGTGGTCAAAACCAGGATATTAAGCGACACATGTGTTTTTTTAAAACGTGGATTTATTACAAAGAAGAAGGGACAATGTTATAACGAGCTTCTCATGAAATAATAAATGAGCATACACCAAGCAATGTTCTACCAGAACTGTCAAATATTTTTAATAATATATATAATTTGCATAATAGGATAGTTTACATTTTAGATACCAGTTTTTTATACTTTATAGTAATTTCGTAGCATCTGCAGATATTTGGAAACTTGAATTAGCTTCTTCAAAATATATTGTACTCATTACTGGAATTAGTTATACCTGGAGTGGGCTTCCCTTCAGGTTCACTCAGCCCGAAATAAGTACAGACAGCGCTGGCCTCACCAACAGCACATGTGATATTCAGGCCTTAATAAGAGCCTATGAGCAATCCTGGAAAGACCTCTGCTAGAATGGAGCTATTACACTGGTCAACACACTTTTTCTGGCATAAGGTATTCCAACGGTTTCAAGGTAATTTTGGGGTGCTGATTCCAAATCTGGCATCAGTTTTTGTCTATCACATCAGGTTTTTGAGATATCAAATATTGCATTTTCAATAAAAACTGCGGAAGAAAAATATTAAATAAATGTGGATATCTACATAAAATGATATTATAAGCACACTATCCTAAAAATACAGCACCATATTTTAACACTAAAGCAGTCACTGACTCGCAACAACTTGCAATCATAAGTGACAGAGTTAATTTTGGGTAAAATCAATGAAAATGGGGTATGCCGATAGCATAAAAATGATGTGATAGAGCAAATCTGAGATCAGATTTGGAATCAGCACCCTGAAATTAGTCTAAAACAGCTGCAAAAGTCCAGGCCAGAAAAAAATGTTTTTTTTTTGTTGACCAGTGTTAGAGAACCCCTCTAAGGAGTATTTTGGCCTACTCTTTCACACTGGCCAGACATCGTGGAGGAGGTGGTGGGTACCCACACGTTACACTACAACACAAAAGCCAGCCGGTCGACAGGCTGGTAGCTGCGTGGATAAAGGCGGGGAAAGGGGGTGGTGTGGATTTCAGAAACTTGGCCATTGTTTAAACCACCACGCCGAGAGGTGGAATGGATCCAGTGACCTCTGGATACGTCCAGTGGGCTAAACATTACACCACGGCAGCACTAGATACGAAAACTTCTATTTTAATTTTACCAGGTAAGGCCCACTGAGCTACATCGCTCTTTTTCAGAAGCAATCTGGCAACAAATGATAGCTCAACGAAATGGCTCCTCATGTGGCAAAATACTCTAAACGCATGTTTCTAAATGTGGAAGTAAAAACTGGACGACCCGGAGAAAAATCCACGCGAGCATGGGGAGAGAGAGAGAGACACGCAAACTTCAAATATACAACAGGCGTCAGGATCGGGCTCGAATCCACGATCTCCTGTCTGTGTCCCCTGGCAGGCCCCGCTGAGCAGGACAAGGTCCCCTCGCGACCCCTTCCGACTCCACCTCCTCCCCGGCGGCCCGAGACCCCGCGCCGCGTCGACAAGGTGCCCAAGCCTCCACGCAGCCCCGACCTCGGCGTGGATCGACCGCCACCGCCGCCCGGCACCACCCCCGACATCTGCGAGGGGAGGTTCGATACCGTGGCGATTCTCCGTGGCGAGATGTTTGTCTTCAAGGTGAGTTAAGGACTGGGGCATCGCGGTGTATTAACGTGTGCGTGTTGTTTAAGGTCCGGGGATGATTGGATTTAGTTTTGTAATGAATTGAGGTTTTTGTAATGCTGGCTGTTAATTCTAGATTTGAAGTTATCGTGACTGCAAGGGTCCATACTCGTTGGTTTTTTCGGTAAAGTCACGTAGGTTCCACCTGAAGACGGAAGCTTGTGTTGCCTCCGAAACGTCGTTATTTAATTTATTTTCCTTTTTTTACCTACGTGACTTTACCGAAAAAACCAAAGAGTATGAATGCTGGCTGTGTTGAACAGGAATCAGCACATACATGTGCTCCAGTTTTCTTCTGGAGCATAGAGGTAAGACTTGTACTACTGCCTAGGCTTTCGCGGTTGTGCTTGTGATAAAGGGGCCACAATTTTAACGTGTATTTGCAGTAGAGATAAAAGCTAATTTATTGAACTGGCCCACCAGTTTAGTTTTTAGTCAATAGACCTTAGTGTCCATCATGATTGGCATATGTTCAATCACTCTATTCAGCATTACTTAATTTGTTTAAACTCGCTCACAGAATACAAAATCAATTCTCGTAAAATACTTACATCAAATGTGGGTTGATATTTCAACTGATTACGGAAAAAAAGTAACTCTTGTTTTTTGTCTTATTTTGATAGTTTCCATTAAACATTCAGAGCTTCATTGCTGCTTCTCAACTTAGAATGTAAACGGAGGTGAAGTTGTGGATTTCGTTGAAATCAACTGCAGTGACTTGCTGAATAATACATTCCTGAGTCAGACTACTGTTTATCTAATGTGATTTTCACTCGCATGTTTATGTTTAATTAATATAATAATAAATATAGTATAACAAGTAATCAGACATTAATGTAAAATATATGTAATTTCAGTGAAAGCTACACCTAGTTTATAAGACCTTAAAAACGCTCTGAGGGATTGTAATCCCTTGTGAAGTAAGTAGGTTAAATGAGCATGTCTTACTAATTTTATAGAGAACAATGTAAAATTTTGATTTAAAGCTTTCATGACTGCAGGGATTCATATTCTTGGTTCTTTCGGTAAAGTCACGTAGAAGGGAAACAATAAAATAATAAAGTGGCGTTTTGTTTCAAATGTTCTTGCCGTGTTTTTCACACCTGATGATGATTGCTTGTGTTGCAGTTGAAACGTCGTGAGAATTGTATTGCTTTATATTTGTATTATTTGATTGTTTCCCTTCTACGTGACTTTACCGAAAGAACCAAGAATAACAATGTAAAACTCGACTGGTGCACAGAAGCGAGGTCACAGGGCTCTTAGGAATCATTTTGGTGGGGAACCCTGAGTTCAGAATTACTTGCATCATTCGCCAAGACACGGGTGTGACGGCAATGCGCTTACGTGAGTTTTGTTTACAAGTACATTACCAACCTGCACTGATCGAAATATATCAATAACACTGTGGCCCTACTCTTTGGTTCTTTCGGATAAAGTCACGTATAAAGATAAAATAATAAATTAAATAATTGCATACTACGACGTTTCGATTGCAACACAAGCAATCATCATCAGGTATGAATGAAATAGCAACAAAAATCTAACCAGAAAACTATAGACAGACATATAAGCAGACAGATATCACCAAGATACATAGAGAGAGAGTAACACATAGGCACAGAGAGGGAGATCGTCTCTGTGGCGAGGCCTCCGCCCCCCTGTCTATTTAAGGCCTCGCCACAGCGACGATCTCCCTCTCTGTGCCTATGTGTTACTCTCTCTCTATGTATCTTGGTGATATCTGTCTGCTTATATGTCTGTCTATAGTTTTCTGGTTAGATTTTTGTTGCCATTTCATTTATACCTGATGATGATTGCTTGTGTTGCAATCGAACCGTCGTATGCGATTATTTAATTTATTATTTTATCTTTATACGTGACTTTACCGAAAGAACCAAAGAGTAATTCCTGCAGTCACGAAAGCTCCAAATTTAAAAACACTGTGGCCTTAAAATAAATAACATATTCTCGGTGACATGTTGGGCAATGGACCTTTTGCCATAGCACATGACCAGCGTGGGTAAGCATGGGTCAAAGCCCCGTGATTGGAAGATGTTGAGAGGCCTTCACGAAGTGATGAATTGACAAAGGGATGTAAATAATACTAATAATTGCGTCGTTATTGCCGGCCAGATACAAAAATTGGTTAAGCTTCACGAGTTGAACAGCTTCTTTGTGTGTCGGTAAAATTCTCGGCGTCCTTACATGATGATGTGATGGCACATGACATTCCGCCACCGCAGGACCGCTGGTTTTGGCGCGTACGCAACAACCGCGTGCTCGACGGCTACCCCATGAACATCGGACATTTCTGGCGAGGACTGCCGACCAACATTGACGCCGCCTACGAGCGGCCTGACGGGAAATTTGTCTTCTTCAAAGGTGTGTTGCTGTGAAGGGGAAATGGCACAGCAGGCAAGGGAGTTAACATCTCGCCACCGTGGCGCCCAAATGCAAATTCAACAACCCTCTAGGGTTTTTTTCCTAGAAATAATTTGTGGAAGGAATAAATAAATTAATTCGTTACTGCAATAACAAACAAATTTGATCGTGCATATCAGAGCCCACTTTCCTGTTTATGGAGTCATGTGCATGGTTTTGGTTTCTAGAGACTTTGGTGAAAACATAAACCGGGGCAATTGTCACTGTCTGGAGGCTCCCATTTACTTTAATCACTACTGGAAGCAGACCACCCACTGTATCAGTGAACTCTCATCAATTAAATCCGTTAATTATGAAATGGATGCTACATCAATGTTTCTCAATTAGCAAAAAATGTGCGAATCTATATTTTGTCCAAATTCCTGCAGGCGTATTGATTGGAGTAATGGCAAGTGTGTTTACTAGCTTGTTGTTTAAATGTCTTTCTTATTTTTCCGTAAAAACAAATGTTCAATTTCACATCTAGAATCTGGAGCCTATGCTATTATAGTGGAAAGGAATTCTGCTTTTGAAGAAAAATATATTTGTGAACCATTTGGCTAATGGGGCTTAACAAACTTGAGTGCTTATGAGCACGCTTTGAATCATGACATGGCAGTTGCTGGGCACTCATGGAACTACTGGGCAGATGCATCCATGCAACTAATTTTAACGCTAAATCCATGTAGCTCTTCAATACAATAAGCCACACACATTTGACAGCCAAGAAGAAACCGGTGTTGGCAGGACAACAAAACAACTGTTTCGGGAATCCGAAATGGTAGTTTGGTCATTATACACAGTCTTGAATGCCAAACGGTCTCCCAACACATTATTACATTCCACGTGTGTTGTTTTGCTGTTGCAAATCTCTGTGGCTGCACAATCATTTGGTGTTTACACAATCACTGCTGTTTGCACACACACACACATATAAGGAGTTATACTTTTTTTTCAATATGCCATGCATGGCAGGTGGTGAAATAGCAAACAAAAGCTTCCATGGATATGGGCACTCTTATACCTTCCAGCACAGTGTACGCATTTTCATTTCACACTCGGATCTGGTTTGTCTGTGTCAGGTGACCAGTACTGGGTGTTCAAGGAGGCAATGGCCGAACCCGGATATCCCCGCAGCCTGGCTCAGTTTGGGAACGGCCTGCCCCACGACCGCATTGATGCCGCACTCTGGTGGGAGCCCATGAGGAAGACCTTCTTTTTCCAAGGAGATAGGTAAGCAATGGCCAGGAGGAATCCACTTCTTCCTCCAGCGAATTCATGCCAGTTGCTCGCTCGCTCGCTCACTGGCGGTCAGTTGCATTCTTATCTCTCTTCAATTACCGCGGTTGTTGTTCCCGTGAACCTCACTCGCTGATTCCTGCTCCTCTACACGGTACGTGACATGCTGCTCCTTGATCCAGGTACTGGCGGTTCAATGAGGATAACCACGCCACGGACCCTGGGTATCCGCGGTCAGTCACAGTGTGGAAGGGCATTCCGGACGGACCAAAGGGAGCTTTCATGGGTCGAGAGGGCGGTAAGAATCCACATTCGCTTCTAAACATTTGCCGCCTACTCTACAATCATTGTCTATTTTGTCCGTTTTTGGCGAATGGCTTAATATCGATATTGCTTTGTTTCGGTTTTCTCTGTGCTATAGCACAAAAGAACATAAAAATGCGTATCGTTTTTACTATTACTCGATATGCAAACACGAAGTTTACTTCAGGGGAGGCAAAGTACAAATAATGATAGATGATGATAAAATTGCATGTACATTAACATAATAATTTTAGAATATTGTAAGAGCCTAGGCCAGAGCAAATCTGTGAAATCCATTAAATTGGTTTTTACCAAAATGTATTCTTGGAAGGAGCAAGAACACTCTTGCAAATATCAGTCCAGGTACACACATACGGATTTATACCACTTAAGTTGCATTCCATGAAATCTTACATTATTTTTGCACTTATCATCAGTCGCCACATTTCACTCGTACCCAGGCTCCAACAATAGGTGTAGGATTTGCGAAAGTGGTAATGTCAAAAAAATTGGGTGCGCTGCAAAAAGTTGTTCGTTTTTTTTTACTTATGACATGAGATGGTGAAAAAAATATAGCTGTATTGATTTCAGCCAGAAACGATGACCTGTGGCATTGAGAACAATCTTTTCCCAGAGCCTATTTTAAATAAGATTTGAGACTTTTGAGTGGAAAAGTGGAATGAGGATTTTATGAATTGAGTTATCGATGACACTGGGGCAGTAGTGCAAAGGCCTTGTAGAGGCAATACTCATTTATTCAACTTTTATATTTCCCCCCCAGAGTTTTGAAGAATATAAATACATGTCTTGTGTATTGTTCATCTAATGTATATCTCTAAGCATACACACTGAAAACATCCTGGCACATTTAAAAAATAAAGTAGGTGCATATACTCTCCTAGTTAGAAACGATCGTCCAAATGTAAACATTAATTATTTCAGAATTACGTACATACAACCTTCCCATGACCAAATCACCCAGAATCAGAATCTTTATCCTGGAGAAATCCAATGAGATATGAGCGTTTTCACATATGTTCAGTAGGGGCGGGTTAGAAAATTCCAAAGACAAATTATAGAATGCGCCCGATCTTGTCAGATCTCGGAAGCTGAGCAGGTTTGAGCCTCGGATGGGTGACGAAACCTGCACTGCAGGTGCTCTAGGCTGCTGCACAGGCGGCAGTGGACCGTTGTTGTATTGTACTTCTATGCTCACACACATCTATGCTCCCCTCCTTCACCAACCAACCCACTCTGACCAGCATTGCGGAGCACAGACCGAATAACCCTCACGACCTGCACGGCGTAGCGAGACCTTTGCCCAGCCGTGAATTGGCAAAACAAACTCTCCACGTACGTACGGGCTACTCATCAGCAGAACGCTCATTGTTTCTACCCCACCCTCTCTCTGTGGCTCCTGCTCGCACATGCAGCCTACACCTACTTCTACAAGGGCAAGGACTACTGGAAGTTTGACAACGAGCGGCTCTCGGTGGAGTCCGGTTACCCTCGCTCCATCCTCAATGACTGGATGGGTTGCGGCGGCGGCGGCGGCGGTGGCGGCGGTCCCGGAGGCCCAGGAGGCCCCGGTGGACCCGGTGGACCCGGTGGACCCGGTGGCCCTGGCGGCGGCGTTTCCGACGACAGCGACGGGCGGCGGAGACACCGCCCTCACGGCGACGACGTGGACATTGTGGCTCGCACGGCGGCCGCCAGCGGCGTCAACGCCATCGCCGTGGTCATCCCCTGCATCCTGGCGCTGTGCATGCTGGTGCTGGCCTACACTGTGCTGCAGTTCAAGCGCAAGGGCACGCCGCGGCACATACTGTACTGCAAGCGCTCCATGCAAGAGTGGGTGTGACTGGCGGGGGGGCTCCGCTCACCTGCCAACTCCCCCCCCCCCCCAACTGGCTCCCACCACACCCCGTCGCAGCAGTCGCACGGCCGAAATATCCCTTCAAAGAGCCCTGGCGAGGAACGAGCAATTTCCTAGAAGTAACAATGAAATGAAATTTTTAATATTGATTTGAAAAGGAGTAAATAAATAAGCGCAGCAGGAGGAGGAGGAGGAGGAGAACAAGAAAAAAGGCCCACTTGAGGGTTTCCTGAACTATGACAAGGCCTTGAGACGAGTGCCTGCGGTCTTTATGCAGACACGGTCGCCGGATTCTCTTGTTTGTGTCTAGACAGGGTTTTATGAGAGGTACTTGAGAGATGAACAATCCAAGGCCATTTGAGCGACCCTGCCGCGCGCACGACAAGGTTTTGGCCACGCTTCGGTTTTAGACGAAGAGGATAGAGAAATATTCAAAAATGGTTGCTGGCGAGTGGACGAGCCGGCCGTACCAAATCGTTTCGCCAACCGGCTTGCACGACGCTTCGGCGGAGACGTGCCACTCTGTGAACTTCAGCTGAAATAATGACTCTGGGCCAAAAAAAGCCTTAAGATGATTTTCTCTCCGCTGTAGCAGCTTGCAATTTGGTACACGACGGAGGGAGTAATAAATGCGGCTGCACTGTAATGTATAAACTACCTAGAGAGATTCCGCCGTTACTTGGGGCAAGAGTTCTTTGTGCATGCATTGCAGGCAAAAAAAAAAGTCCGTATACACTAATATAACCTCTCAAGCGAAACAACCTGAAGGAATTTCATTCAAATTAACAACTCTGAGATTTGCAGTGTGTCGGCTATGGTCGAATCATGAGCTTAACTCAGCTAGAAATGGCATAACGAAAGGGAATTCGGGCTACAGCGGTTTCTGCGGATGAACCAACACAGTCTTAGGATATCTGACATTCAGTTCCACTTAATTTAAACATTAATAATCAGAATTTAACACTGGGTCAATTATGTTATTTGCTTGTGTGTTTTTTCCCCAGGTGTTCACATATCAAGTAACATTTCAATTAATGTCGCCAAAATTTTGCAGGGACTTTGCAGAAGGTTATAAGCATGGGCGCGTTTAGTGCAACATTTTTGTTATTGAACTTTAATACTCTTTACTCACTGTTTTCATGACTTGGGTTATACTCTGTCTAATAATAACCTTTAGATTTTTTTTTCTCCTGTTAATGCATCTGTTATATGAACAGAATCTTTCATTGACTGATAGTCTCATGATGCATCCAGACACACAACAACGAAAACTTGTGTGCTGTTAAAGGGGATCATTTTGGCGTAACCTCATGTTGGTGGATAAAAGTGCAAGTCGGTAAAGAGGGGCACATGCTTGGGAGTGTAGTAGGAAAGGCCTGGACATATTTAAAGATCACAGGCAATGTCGGTTGATAATGCAGTCAGTTTTCAGCTTTGCATAATTCTAGGTTACATTTATAAATAACCATAATTTTGGCTACATATAATGAAGTGTTACTTTAAAAAAAAACATCAGCAAGGTTTGACCTAATTAACCTGATATATTTTGATTTATACATGTAAAAAAAATCACAATTAAAAGATTTTGAAACCTAAATTAATAACGTCAAACAAATATGTTATAACCAACAGACATGGTCAAAAGTTTAATGTCCACAAAAATTGATTATTCACGCATTTATTTACAATGATCCTATTCTACAGTAACCTGTACTAGTATCAGTTTATTTTAACAAAACCTGTACAGTTACTGCTTGAAGAATTTTTTTTGGATTAACACGAACCATCAAAACAGAAGTGTTATGTACAAATATCACTGTACTTAATTTAAGAGCTTGTTAAAGGTGCTTAATATGCTATAGGTTCTAACTGCATTGGCCCATAGTAGGCCTATCAAGTTATTTAAGATTACACAAAGCTTATCTGCTTTTGTTAAAATGACAGTTTGCTGAATTAGCAAAATCACATAAAAAGGAAAAATGTAACAGAGGTGGAAACTGTGAATTGTCAAAGCTACTGTGGGTAGCTGAATTGTTTACATCTAAAATGTCAGTGCAAATTTCTTTTTTATTATTTTATTGTTGTTGTTATTTTTCAAAAACCTTCGTGGCATTTGACCAACTGAAAAAAAGGCTTCAGATTTAAAGGCTGTTACAGTTTTAATTATTTTGCACTTTTTTGTATTCTTTTGGTGCTGTTCAATGTAGGAGTTATGTGGTTTTAGTTGTTACTGCATCTCACTGATGCAGTTTTTTTGATAGCATTTACACGGAACAATGTGGTGTGTGACTGGAAGCCATTTGACTGAAGGCCTGAAAATGTTAGATTCATTTTTGCATCGTACCAATTTGGTTTCTCATAAAATGCTAAAAATAACCCACACAAGGAAATCAATATAGACCAATTCAAATTATGGAGTTGTACTAAAATTGTATGTTAGGTTCTATAATTAAGCATCTTTAACTTTTGAAAACTTTATTCATTTATGATACTGAAATCAGGTTTATGTGTAATACCACACTAGCATTGCTGTGTTCACCCATTCACTCCTGCTGGTCAGGTGTGCCAATACAGTATATCAAGTGTTGTCAAATTGTTTGGCAGACTTAAAGTAGCCTTATGTTATAAATGTACATTATTTTGGAGAAAAAAAAAGATCTTTGAAAAAAATGATGATTTGTTATAATATTTTTTTTTTAACAATGAACACATTCTTCTGTGGATGAGTTCTCATGTAAAATGTTTGTTTAAAAACAAAGTGAGATTGGTAGGCAAAGCATCTTTGGTTATGCCAGTTGAAGACAACTTCACAGACAAAGTATATTAAAAGGATCAATGTACATTATCCTTCATTTTATCGACTCACAAAATCACCCACAGAAGCCGCAAAATGCGCAATATTGTGTTAATGTAAAAATGTCACTGAATGAAGTCAGTACCTTCTAATTTAATTGGTTTTTTGTTTTATTTTATATGTTGTTATTTATTTTTTTATTTTTTAAAAGTTCTCCAGAGCCTTGAAATAGCATTCTGAAATACGTGTCTTGAACATGTCAATTCTTGTCAAGCTTATTATTTTTGAATAAAATAACAAACATCCAAACTTGACATAATAATCCGTGTACGTTTGAATTTCTAATACAAAGACCTCGTGCCAAGCCTGCGCATTGTACCACACGGGATGCAGCCCCGCACTTCCAAATTCACCCCGCTCTCTTGAGTTTGTTCGTATAACCTTGATTGCAGTGTTAGTGCTCGGTATAAGCAATTCAGGCAAAAGCGTAGGGCCCAAAGTAGCTGAAGAGGTCCCAGATTCATGCAAAAAAGGGGAGAATCAAACATCAGCTAAGTGAAATTTCCGAATGAACATATAGACATAATTGACAATAAAAGTATATTGATCCCTTCTGATACCTATCGTGACTGCATCGCTTTTCTCACATCTCACATCTCTATTTGTCAGTTTAATACGTAGGCTTTCGCGACCAATATTATTCATAATCAACGTTTTTGGGTTTAGATCGCGTTATTTCTAAATGTGTCAACGTGACACTTTTTTACTGATTGGCCGTGTCGGGTGGTGGAGGGTTACGACACATTTATAAATAACGCGATCTAAACCCATAAATGTTGATTGTGAATCTCTTTGTGTGTACAGTTATCTTACCCCACTACAATTATATCTTTCGTCTTTATCTCTTCTGTCATCTAGCAAGGATTTAATCAACTGAAAGCCCCCTCCCCATAACGTGTCTGTGATAAGTCCCTCGTGGCCTACCACCATCACTGCTTGTTCAGGCAGTCTCTTGGTCAGAACACGACTCCTACTGTGGGAAATAATTGAATCGGCCACAAGTTGAGGTGTATTCCAATACAAGTTTAGAATAGGTTAGCATATAATCACAGAAATGGATGAAACAAATGTATCTTGGCTGAACATGAGTCATTGGTCCACAATGGGGGTTCTCCACTGAGCCTGAAGAGAGAGGCGTGTGGCAGAGAGGTGATTTTACTCTGCAGTCATTGACTATAATTAGGTACATTTTGCAATTTTCTCCTTTCACAATGAAAGCATTTTTCAATGAGAAACTTGGGTACCGAGGAAAACAAATGTGAGTGCGTCTGATTATTCTTAAGCCTGCTGCTCTCCGAAGCTAATTATTGACACGCACACCTGATAGTCAACTAACACACCTCCAAAGCTGGCATCTCTGTAAAATAAAACATTGCCAAAGCAGCATTTAAATGTGCCCAACACCATAATTGGTAACTTCAAGCCCTAACATAACACTTTCAACCCTCCCCTTGGCATGAAATCCTGCACGAATTTTTTTTTGTCAACGGGAAAAGGTGTCAACTCTCCGGCTACGTTTTCAGGTTCTACCATGTGCTGTTTGGATTGACGTCCAAAGTTTTACTCTGCGTGCTGGAAGCTTATTCTGCAACTGATACTTCCTGAAGGACTGGATACTAATGAACTTGTGGGAGGTACTTGCTTTCTGATTTACAAATGTCCGAAGAAGCTGCCAACACGTAGAGCAAAACGTTGGACATCACGCCATGGAAGGTTGCGGTACAACCACGACAACCTACCCTGTTTTAAAAATATGTCAATTCGACTTTAGAATTCTGTTTTAACAAACCCAGGGAGAGTGGATGCCTGCATCTGTTTTTTTCCCTGGCGTAATGAAGAGCGGCGGACCCGGTAATATGATAGAGAGGTTGGGTTGAACATTATCCCAGCGGTATTTGTCCTAGTTTTTCCAATTTTCAATGTATTAACTGGGACAATATTACACACTATTTGAACGTAATGAACTTTTAATTAACAGTATTAAGTGTTCATGGGCTGAAGGCTGGGTATCAATTAACTAGTGGGGTGCCCGTTTTCTGTAATCATTGTCCCAATTGGAGCATTGCCTAAAAATAGTCACGGATTTAATTTGCCCGTATTGGTCATAGTGGTTGACTGTATTTATTCAATATTTATTTTACACTTCGTGCAATTGTTGAACATTTTCTCAATTCCGTCGAATGTGATAATATGTTGTCATTGGATATTACGGTTCCATCCTTTTGGGAGGTAATCATGAGTAACCACAATGCACTGGAGATTGTGGCAGTTTAGGAGTATGCAGTATATATAAAAAAAATACATACGCATACATAAAACAGTAAAGATAAATAAATGTGGATGTCCACGCCATTGCACTTCCCATAAGTAAAGAAGCACAGTACAAATTATGCGAATGATGGTATCGTTTTCCAAGTGTCTGTTTGCATTATTAATTCTGCATATGCACCGATTCTACCTTGTTATTATTCAAAAGCCACTGACAATCAGGGGCCCAAGTGTAATGAGCAGATTAGATTTCTGCTCATTCTCTGGGTGGAGAATAAACTTTGCTTCACGAAGCACATGCAAAGACGGGACTGGCGGTTGTGTTTCCACAAGACGAGTTTGGTGGTGAGTTTTTTGTTGTCATAAATCTCCTTATATATGTTTTAAAGCGGTTTTACGTCCACTGTTAGACCAGCGTCGTAATGAATGTTGTTGTAGCCTTCTCCAGTTGCGTCTGTGAACTGCTTGTAAAATTCATTGCTCAGCCATCATTAATTGTATCTTCCTGTTTTTTTAGAGTCGGTGAAAAACAGCGTTTACCCTGAAAGGGGTATATCTGTTGAAAATACACAGCAAAGTGTTGTCGTTTCAGAAACGGTGTAAAGCATTGAGCTAGTTGGATGAACCTGCTATCTTTCCACACCAATGTTATTATTTTTTAGTGTGTCATGCTATTGATGTTCTAAGGGGTGTCAATTTATAAATATAAATAAAAGCTATGTAAAAATACGGTAAGGGGAATCACGTGATTATCCACCCCACTGCGTTTCCCATAATGCAGCGAGTCAGATGTATCTGCGGCTGGGGTTGGTTGGATAGACAGTGGTGAAACCGTTTTTCAATCCATGTGGTCTTCTTTTTTTCAATTTAAGTCACGATTTGCTTTTCCAACATTGCTTCAGTTAAATTATAATCGAGGTGGCTTAACAATGTGAAGGATACATCCTGAGCAAGAAAATAACGAGATTTCGTTTTTTTGTACTGTGGTCATATACGTAGATTGGTCTTAAAATATGGAATATGACCAACACGTTAGGCACGGAACAATATATACAGTTAGACGATAAATTTGAGTCTTCATAAACTAAAATATGAACATAGTGTTATAGGTTTACTTGTGGAGGAGAAATCTCAGGAATCTAGTATCATGAAAAGTTATTAAGGTCACCTTTTTAATGACAATGAGACTGGAATTGAGTAAGAGGAGTCAGGTTTTTTTGGGTTTGGACAACTACACCCGTTTTACCTAAAGACAATTTTTCCTCAAATGACGAATAGACAGCAGAATACTCCTACTTTGGTGACGTACACAAGGATGACCTTCATCACAATAAAGTTCAACCATTCGAGATCTGCAACCGTACCTTACTTAAATGGTTTCCATTTGACCTGGAGCAAAACATTAATGCAACCAAATTACTGTTGGGAGACGGTCGTTAAAATAAAAGCAAGCAAGCAAGCGACGGTTTTTTTTTTGGAGGCGATGAAAAACAAGCCACACAAAACAATGGTCAATGACTGCTGACGTTTTAAAAAAAAAAGCCACTATAAACCACCATGGGATATACAGGGCGCTGGTGTAAGTGTCTCCGCAGTTCGCTCGCGACGAGGCCTGAAGTGTTCTTTTTTTATTATTGCCCCCCCCCCCTCCCCGTTTACTACCACTTTTTTATCACTTTGCAGCCTGGGAATTTGTTGGGCTTAGCAGCGCAGGAAGGGTATCCGGTGCCCACCCAACTCCTGAAACAACCCTGTGAACGGAGGAGTCCAATGGGGGCATGTGCTGGGAGTAAACGCCTGCTTGCCGCTGAGTGCCACTCCCCAAAGTCATGAGTTTCTGCCTCGATCCCATTTGCCACCTCTCAAAAAATTGCAGTTCTCCTCTCAGGGGTTAGGGTTGAACCTTCCAATAGCGGCGGTTTCTCGCCGTTATCAATGTCATATCGCTTAGCCGTTGTCTTGCCCACATCCCCACCGGAGGAGAGAGCCTTTGAGGAGTTCCCATGGAACTATTAAAAGCCGTCATGAGCGGGGAATGTCTATTGTGCTTACAGTCAGCTTGCCTCTCAACACGTGCGCTTTGGCAAGGGTGTGATGGTGGGTGCAGTCATTGGTGAAGAAAAAATTGCTGTAAAGAGCGTAACTCTGTATTTCTAGAAATAAAGTTGGATATACCCTTTAGAGGGTCAAGTTGCGTGTGGGAGGAGTGTTTGCTTAAGTGTAACACATCTGCAGCTATTGACTCTGTGGTGGGCAGACTTTCATACCTTTTGCACGTGTCATAGTTGGTAGATTTTTTCCCCATGAATATGTTTAATCGACAGCATTTGTTTAAACATTAATAGCCTGGACTGGTTTCTGCCCTCTGGTCCTCGTCAGCAGAGTCAGACGTGCTGAACAAATACTTTACAAATACTTTACATATACTTTACACCATGGGAAGTCAGCACAAGAAAACAAAATTGCATAAAAACTCACAGCGCACAGTTGTCCAACATTTGTCTGTAAGGCGAACATTCTAAAAGTTCGTATCGTCTCATCTGGCAATAAAGAACAAAAGCTGAATCATGTGCAGTCTATTCTCTTCTGACACATGTTGTCTGAACGCGAATTGGATATAACGCAATGAATGTATTAGGGAACACATTTTGTATAACGTGGATACCAATTGAATATAACGCGATTGAGTGAACTGAACCCAGTCTTTGTTCAGCCTGCACACGCACCTCACGTGTCATCGGGGACTGTGCTTTACCCTGTATCATATACAGTATTATTTATTATAACGCGATTTGTCGATAACGTGGTGTTCTTCAGGAATGCAACTACCGCGTTAGTGGAGAACACGGCTGTATTTTATTTAGTACCCAGAATGATACGCAACAGTGCTCAGTGAAATTTCGATTTAAAGCTTTCGTGACTGCAGGGATTAATCTTCTTGGTTCTTTTGGTAAAGTCACGTAGTCAGCGTCTGAATGACGCTGTCTTTCCGACAGACCTGTTCTTCACCTG